TGTGCCCTGGTGGATGTATTTCTCTTGTGGTTGTTGAGAATTGTAAACCATTTGTAAGCCATTTGACTATTCTGTAGGGCCAGCTGCTTTAGTTTGCTTCCGTGGGTCTTAGCCCATTGCCTCCCTGGATGAGAGGCAGTGTTGTGTGGAACACCACATGGTGAATAAGACATTCAGGAAGTTTATAGATAATAATGCTGATGATCATGATAATAAATGAAATGGATACTAGTTAATACATACAGAACTTACTACAGACCAGGCATTATATGTATTTATTTAATTCTCACAGTCCCAAATGAAGAAACTGAAATAGAGAGGTTAAATAATTTTCCCAAGGTCTGAAGACACTTAAACAGTGGAGTTAGAATTCCTACCCAGACATTCTGGTTCTGGAATCTATCCTCTGAGCCACTATGCTTCTCAATGTGGACAGATAACCACATTTAGAATAATAGGGGGTGGGGGAAATGCCTGGTTTTATAATAATTGGGATTTTTCTGTTTAAAATTTCTTTGTGAATATATTAGGCTTGGCATGCATGGAAACAATCCATATCTTGAGTGAATGTCTTTTCCAGTGAGGAGAAATTGCTGCTTCCTCTGTGATGAAAGGGATCTGATATAATCTAACTGCTACTGAGTGCCCAGCTGGTCCCCTCAGAGCATGGAGCAGGGCTCAGTAGTGAGAGAACAGCCATTGCTGGAAATAGCGTGGCTTCACTCCAAAATCATAAGGCTCTGTGCTGCGATTTGCTTATGGAAGTTTGCCACAGCGTGTATCCTGTATCCTTATTTGCCAAGGACTTTGCACACCACTGGATCTGCTAGGTCATAAAACCAAACTGCTTACCTTGCAGCCTGTACTCGCTGCTGGCCATTCTCTTTCTGGGGGCCCATCAAAGCTGGTGGCCTTATGGATTATTTGATAAACAGGTCAGTGCAGCATAACCAAATGTGGTATGTGAACTCTAAAATCAAAAGCGATCCATCAAATGCTCAGAAGTTTTCTTAGTGGTGGGGGGTGTGCAGTGCAACAGCTCGTCCTTCACTTTAGATTACCTGCCATGTTCCAGACTCCTCCGGATCCCTAGTTTCTACAGAAGTATTGCCTACCTTCTTAAACAAGGCGTTTACATACCTGCCACATCTTATTAGATCCAAAAACATGTCATCACATGTCGAGTGATGTCCTGCTGTGAAATGTGAGATGATAAAGTGCCTGCAGATGAGATTTCAACAGAGCCGGAGAGCGGACATAAGCCAGATGTACAACAGCAAGATGGACTGCTGACCCTGCAGGTGAAAGTAATCTGTGTTTCATGTTTTCTGCTCTTTAGGCTAGAGGGGAAAAGCATATTCCAGGTCAATAGTTGCATGGCTGCAGGTGCCAGCGACGTGCTGATTTGCTTTATAAAGAGGTCCCTGAAAGAACAGCTACAAACCAAGTCCTGTACAGGGCAAATGACTTAAATGTGAACAGATAGGGGTCACCACTCCTGAATTTCTCAGTCTCTGATGGTGGTGGTAATATCTACTATTCCCTCAGGGTTGCACTGTGGCTTTTGGCTTATGATTCTGGTGGGGAAGAACAGTTCTGGGGACTTCCCTTTGTTCTTCTTACACAGCTTTCACACTATGTGTCAGTGTGAAGGTTCTGCCAGTTGCCAAGTATGTCTATTGCAACTGTAACTGCAGGAACTGGAAAATAATAATGGGATGGATATGTGGGACAGACCCAGGCCCAAATTCCTTTTAAAGTACTTGACCCCTGCCCACCCGCAGTGTCTCAATGGTTGAATGTCGACCTATGAACTGGTTCACGGGCAGGGCAAATGCCCAGGTTGCAGGCTCGATCCCCAGTAGGGGGCATGCAGTAGGCAGCTGATCAATGATTCTCTCTCATCACTGATGTTTCTATCTCTCTCTCCCTCTCCTTTTCTCTCTGAAGTCAATAAAAATATATTTAAAAAAATAAATTACTTGACCCTTTTGTATTAGTTTGCTAGGTATGCTGTAATAAAGCACCACAAATTGGGTGGCTTAAACACTACTTTATTATTTCACAGTTCTGGAGGTTAAAAGTCCAAGATTAAGGTGTCTGCAGGGTTGGTTCCTTCTGAGAACTATATAGGAGAATCTGTTCCATACCTCTCTCCTAGCTTCTGGACGTTTCGCTGGCAATCTTTGGCACGCCTTGGCTTCTGCTGTTATCATCCCGATCTCTGCCTTCATCTTCACATGGTGTTCTCTCTGTGAGTGTTTCTGTGTCCAAATTTCCCTTTTTCATATGGCACCAATCATATTGGATTAGGGGCCCATCCTACTCCAGTATGACCTCATCTTAATTACACCTGCAACAACCCTATTTCCAAATAAGGTTAAATTCTGAGGTATTGGGTTAGAACTCCCAACATATTTTGGGGGACACAATTCAACCCATTAATACCCCATAAGCCTCTATTCTAACTAGTAGATCACAGAGACCTTTTAGGTCCCAAAAAGTACATTAGAAAGAGGTTGGAATAAGTAAGTATCCATTTCCCATATCCAGTTTCTTCCCATTGGTCCAAGTAGGACTTGTGACCAGACATGCCCTTTCAGCATTAGCCCCTTTGAAAGTTGACCACAAGAGCCCATCTGTCTGGCTTTGAAGATTATCTCTTCCTGGCCTGAGAGGAACCTAACATTTCCTTGTCTTCAGAGTTGTTTTGCTAATCTACACATCTTGTTCCCAGCCAGTCAACCTAATCTACTACTCTCCTCCTTGGTCCACTTTGTTCCAGCCATACAGGCCTGTATGTTGTGTGTGTGTGTAAGTAAACAGACTAAGGATGCTCTACCAAAGGGCCTTTGTACTTTATTCCTCATGCTTGGTATCACATGGTTCTCACTCCACTCAGGCCTCTAATAAAATGTTACCTTGTTGAAGAGGCCTATACTATCCATCTAAAGTAGCACCACCTGCAACTCTCTTCACCTTCCCTGCTTTGTTTTCTTTAGTGCATTTACCCTCATCCAGATAATGAATCTGATCACCTTTCCCCACTATGTTAGTTCCATGGGGACAGACCTTTGTTTTCCTCATTAATGCATAGTATACCTGAAACATAGCAGATATGAACGAAAGCTCTACTTAAAACATTCCCTACGTACTAAACTGACCCACTTTTAGGTCCTGGGTGGATAGCTCAGTTGGGTAGAGCATCATCCTGGTATGCCAAAGTTGTGGGTTTGGTCCCCGGTCAGGGCAACAACAAGTCAATGTTTGTCTCTCTCCCTCCCTCAAGTCAATAAAAATAAATAGATAACTGGACCAACTTTCCCGGTGCATTACTCCTGGTCTCCGAGTGGTGGCGAAGGGTCTTTCATCTGCTAACGTCTAGAAGACACAACAGGAGTGTTGCAAAGGATTAGAATAAATTTAGTTTTCCGTGGCCTCTGGTCTAGAGTTTTGGGCTTTTCTTAGAAGACAACCTTATTTCTTATTCCTCCAAGAGGAAAAAGCATGAGGTCTTACCAAAAGCATTTTCAGTACACCATCTCAATCTTTACAACCCCATAATTAGAATTATTATCCCCATTTCGGCGAAGTGAAAACAGACTCAGAGTAAGTTGCAAAAGTTTCACAGCTATAAGAAGTGGGGCCCAGGTAAGAATACAGGTTTGGCTGCAGACTCCTGCCCCTCCAACAGACTTCCTTGATTTCATCCAAGTTAATTGCTCTCCTGAGGCTTCAAGAGAATTGCAAGTGGAGAGTTGATAATTTGCATTTCAGATTGTCTGCCTTTTTTCCCAACAGGCTTCCTTTTTCACACGTGGACACCTTGTAGGGTGCCTTTTTCCAAAGACCCAAAGTCCACTGACAGCATTTCCAGTTCCAGGTGCAGGGAAATGTGCTAAGTCTGGCTGCAGTGCCCAAGAGAAAAGAGTCTTCCAGGTTGGCTGTTGTCCAGACTCATCATCCTCATTGTAGAAAAGCACAGGCCAGGAAGACAAAGAGCAGGTGCATCTGCGAAAGGAAACAGAAAGCTATCTGGTCCTCAGGGAAAGGATGTTTGCAATTCTTCCTCTGGGCCCAGGGCTAAGGTGCTAGAGGAGTTTGGCACTGGAAGTTTCTTAAATACCGTCTGAGCCGGAGAAATTAAGGGCAAGAAATCTCTGCCATCTCACACAATCACAAGTAAGTTACTGCCAAATTTGGAATCTTACATCACGTCTCATGAATCTTTAACTTTCTCTGCTATACTTGTGCATGAGTGTTCATTTCTTAGACCATTATTCTAGACAGAGCCAAAATCCGAAGTAGTACCAATTTAGCTCAATTCTGACAAATTTATAAGATCAGATAAAATTAAGTATGTTGAGATTTTGATGGCATTTCTTCTCTGTCCTTTCACGACAAATTTTAGTCAGATTCCTTAGTCCCTCTTAAACTAACTTTGTGAAACTCGAGAAAGCTTTTGAAACATGGAATGTGTACCTGATAGCTAACAAACACCGAGGTTATTGCTTAGTGATTAGATTATGCAGAATCAGTAGATTTCTTCCTCCAGTAAGAATACTGTTTCCCAATTTATAATCCTGCAATATTCACTGGGATCGCTCTGAAGAGCCACTAAATTGCCACTCCATCCTCCCCTCGTCTGGAAACACATTTCTAGTAGTGACTACAATACAGAAAAGGGTAAATAAAATTCTAACAGGAAGACTGCACAGCTGCCTCTAGAGGGCAAACGAGGTTCATTTCAATCTACAGCTTCCTTATTTGGCTGACTCAGCTAATTCTTCAGTCTGACTACACAGTCCAAAAGAAGCCTGGCTTGCTTCCTATTATGCTAGGAATCCCTAGTTATAGATGACTCCACTGCAGTCTGATTAGAATATAATCCTTTTTTCCTGAGATTAGGAACAGTCAGATCTAGAGACTGTTAAAGAAGTAGTGGTCTGTTTCAAACCCTTGGCTCTGTAGGACTACCCAAGCCAAGGAACGAGATGAGCTGAATTACAACAGAAATCTTTATTAAAACGTGTCCTTCAGTAAAGTTAGCATACATACAATATACACACATACATCTGTACACTCTTTGACACACCTCACGGATTGCCACCATTAGTTTAACCAATAAATTAAAACTTAAAAAAGGGGGAGGGTGGGCTGTGGGACTAAGGGCAAAATTTCCCATGTTTTATCTGTAAGAAACTGCAAATTTCTCAGAATTTCCCTGGGTAAAACCTGTGACCAGAGAATCTTTGAAATAAAATACATAAATCTCCATCCCCACCCCCCCAAAAAAAGATTTCAAAAGATGCAGTTACAACAAGTGTGCTTCTCGGAACAGGAGCATCCATTCCACTTCATACTCTGGCTTCTGCACCTTCTGGCTTCAACACAGTCTTCCCCTCAGCTGGGGCAGAGAGGTTCATATGGGCACTTGGGCTCGGCGCACCTTGGGCTCTGGGAGTCGAGGGGCAGGCTGCAGTATGGGAGCGAGGGGAGCCGCACTCATCTGAAGTGAGATCTGGCACATCATCTGATTGCGTATCTGAGCTCTCCAGGTCACTGCGGATGCTCTCGGGCTGGGCCAGGCTGATGTCCCAAGGTTTGCTGGCCAGGCAGTCTTTCTGTTCACAGCTTTGGTGTTTGCAGGGGAGATCCTCTTCATTACTGCCACCACCACTTTCTTCTTCATTCTCTGCCATCTGAGCATGAACATGGAGCGAGTCCTCTGTGCTGCTTCCACTCACCAGCTGATAGTGGCTTGGTTTGGCTTCAATGTCCACTTGTATTTCCATATTGTTGCATTCTCTGTGGAAACAAAACCCACTATGCTGAGTCATGCATGGGTCATGCTATACCTGTTGGTAAAAGCAGTTTGTGGGTTCAGGATTAGGAAGTCCAAAAACATAGGTAAACAGACTAGAGCTCACTTTTAGCAAAAATAAAAATTTAACCTAACACTCAAGATGAAGAACAATTAGATCCTTTTTGTTGATTTAAAACACACACACACATACACCTCTGCCAATTTCTTTAAAAAAAAAAAGTTTGTCATCACCCAGTTTTCTTTTTCTTATTGATTTTAGAGAGGAGGGAGGAATGGAGAGAGGGGGTGGGGAGAGAAACATCGATGTGAGAGAGATACATTGATTGGTTGCCTCCTGTACACACCCCAACCAGTGATCAGACCACAACCTAGGTATGTGCCCTGACCAGAAATCGAACCCATGGCCTTCCAGTGCATGGGACAACGCTCCAACCAACCGAGCCACACACCTGCCAGGGATCTGCCAATTTTTTTAAACTAAAAAAGTACTTCTAAAATTAACTAAGTGTCAGAGCCTCATACTATCTTACCCAAATGTGAAAGTGAAAGAAGATGCATAGCTTTTTACTACTGCGCCACAATTAGAAGAAACCAGAAACTCCTCAGAAGGGAGTGCTGCAACCATACCATACCAGCTTCTCCAAAATAGAGAGAAATAGGCTACAGGAGCCACATCAAGCAAAGGGCAACATGAGAGCAGAAACCCATAGACCTACAAACATCAATGAACACCAATCTAACTCTCAAAAGTTCCACATGAATAGTTATACTGTTGCAAAAGCCAAGAGAAGGGGGAAAAAAGGAAAGAAAAAACCTCTAAAAATTAAGTGCTAACAGAATCAATCAAGAGCTGCCAAGAACTTGCTCAACGAAGTCACCAGGTACACACACTATATATCCCACTAGATGGTGCACAGAGCTCTAACATAAGGCATTGAGCTTCTAAAGGCCTAGTACCTGACCCAAAAATGCAGCTTCTCTTGGGCATCTGACTGGTCACATACCTGTCCTGTGGGTTGTAGGAACTGATTATGGAACCGGCCATAGCACGAGTACTTGCGTTGTCACTAATTGCACCAAGACTGGCTGTGTCTTTGGGGAAAATTTCCTTTTGGACATCGGCTTGGACTTCTAACCTGTGTAAAGAGGGGACGTTCAAGTTAATATGAGACCTGGGTATTCCAAGACAGTCTGCTTCCTGGCACACAGCTCTTCCATTATTCTCTTGTAAATTGAGTTGATCTGATCTTCTCCAATTGTCAAACAGCTCAAGGTAGATGCCCACACACTTTCTCTCTTAAATATCTATTGAAATCGTCCCCTCCTTTCTGTCCCCACTGCTACTGCTTAACTTCAGGCCTTCAATATCTTTTGGATAACTGAAATTGGGCACCCTCTGCAGTAGCCCTAAGTCCACGTTAAAGTACTTCCAGATCAGTGCCAATGTGGACAAAGATCTGATCACGCGAACAAGTCCTATTTTGGTTCCCTATTGACAACAGGCATTTAAGGTCTCCCTGATCTGCCTCCAAGCTCTTTCTCCAGCTCCTCTCTCATCACAGGTCTCAAGTCATAATCACTCGGGATTTATTTTCCTTACACACCTATACATATTTAAAAAAATTAATTTCAGAGAAGAGAGAGGGAGAGACTGATAGAAATATCAATGATGAGAGAGAATCATTGTTTGGCTGCCTCCTGCACACCACATACTGGTGACCGAGCCCACAATCTGGGCATGTGCCCTGACTGGGAATCAAACCCTAACCTCCTGGTTCACAGGTCAACATTCAACTACTAAGCCACACTGGCCAGGCCCCTACACACATTTTATATCTCCATAATTTTGCACATGCTATTCCCACTCTCTGGAAATTTCCTTTCTCAAGATGACAAACTCATACTCCATCCTTAACAAAGAAAGTACCATCTTCCCTCACTCTCCCAGTCACTTCCTGCTAAGTGCTCCTACAACACCTATTTATTAATCAATTTACACATTTCTCTCCCAGTCATCTGAGACTCCAAAAAGGAAAGACTACATCTCATTCACTTTACCCTCATGTTTTACACATACTAGGAACTCAAACATTTAGCAAATTACCCCCAAGCTATGAAATTAAAGGACATACAGCCAACCTCCTACAAGAGCAGCAAACCTTTCCAATGGTGTCTCAGAGCTAAGAACCCATACCTACTTCCTTTCTTGGCTCCAATACCATTTTGTTGTACACTTAAGTATTTCCTCATAATAGGTTTCACAGTCAAACCCTCTGACTCATTCACTTCCTATAGAAAGCTTTCACAGAACTGGAACAGCTGGACTGGCTAAGCTGCAGTTTCAGCAAGTCAGTTTCCAATGATGACTGTCTGCTTATTTATAGGGGTGTTGGTTTTAAGAAAGCACAGCAGTGAATTCTCCAGAATGTGGGGGCGGGATCCCCTAACAAAGAGACAACCAGTCATGAGACGCAGATGGGTCAGCAGCAGCCTGCAGCTGCACATTCAAACAACCTCCAGCCTGCCACCTGCTCCTTCCTTGTGCTGCTCCAGCTTCAGGTGCCCCTCAACACTCCACAGCCCAGGAAAACGAGGCCGTGCAATGGGGAAGCCTCAGCTCTGCCACACACTCCCTCTCGGCTGGAGGAGGCCTTTCACGAAGACCATTGATAGGTGGTGCTCAGGTGCTTGTTCGTGCAGTGACTATGATAGAAGACAACCTTCTCCCCTACCTCCTGAACTTGTTTTGCTTCACCCCCACCCCTCCCAGGCCTTTTCAAAATACAGCCCCTAAGTCCCATTCTAGGACTGTGGTCGGCAAACTGCGGCTCGCGAGCCACATGCGGCTTTTTGGCCCCTTGAGTGTGGCTCTTCCTAAGCCTTAGGAGTACCCTAATTAAGTTAATAACAATGTACCTACCTATATAGTTTAAGTTTAAAAAATTTGGCTCTCAAAAGAAATTTCAATCGTTGTACTGTTGATATTTGGCTCTGTTGACTAATGAGTTTGCCGACCACTGCTCTAGGAGATTCTAATTTACTAATTCTGGAACAGGGCTCTGAAATCTATTTTTAACAGGCTCCCAGGTGACTGACAAGCACTCAGGTGTGGGATCCAGACCATCTGCCATCTGTTGCTTAACTCCTAATAGCCAAATGGCCATCTGGTCTCACTTTAAACACTTCCAAGGATAGGCAGCTAAGTATTTACTAAGGTAATCCATTCCTTCTTTGGACTCTTACAGAGATGTTCCCTATATTCTCTATACCAGTGGTTCTCAACCTTGGCTGCACATTAGAATCACCTGGGAATCTTTTTAAAATCCTGATTTCTCCAGGTGATTCTAATGTGCAGCCAAGGTTGAGAACCACTGCTCTATACTGAAACAAAATCGGTTTCCCTCTAGCCATGTCATCCTAACCTACCTCTTGGATGAGTCAGAAGTTTAATTCTTTTTTCCAGCTCAAGGCCCTTCAGGTATCTGAAGGCAACCATCTCTCCTGCCTCCCTAACTTATTTAGCCTTGCCCCAGCCCCTCCCAGGCCTCCCTGGGCCTCCGTCTCCAGTGCATTCAACTAATTGCTTCTCATGTAACAGCTGTTAAGTTCCTCTAAATATGTTCTCATTTGTCTAACTGGTGAAATAACCAAGCAAGTTGCAACTTTTTTTAGTCATAAAGTTTTACATATTCTCAACACAAGTTCACAGAATTGATTTTCTTTATCTACCAAATGGGAATAGCAAGGTAATGAAGATGACAGCACCTATAAGGCATCAAGATACAGCATAAATGCTGCTCAACTGAAGGCCAGTGACAATACTGTTCAGCCTAATGGAGAACAAAGTCTTGGAAATTCTACAAAAAATGCGCACTTTCCCTTTATGAAGCAGGCAGCCTAATATAGTAGAGGGAGAATCTAACTATTATTCTTTACATGGAATAAGTGGAAAGAACACTGAACTTTTATAAGTCACTTAACCTTTCTGAGTCTGTTTTCTAATTGTTAAAAAAAACAAAACACAAAAAAACCCCACCGATGATTAAATCAAAATAAGATGATACATGGGACATGCCTGGCACAGAAAAATGGCTCATACAGGTAATGCTGTGTTGTAATTCCAACTGGTTCTGTCAGAAATTACCTATTGCTTACCTGCTGTATTTTCCCTTGCCAGTGGAAAGGATGCCACCACTCAGGGTGCCCCCTGAGAGGGCTGCAAAGCTGGCTGTCTCGCTGTATGGGCCCTGCATAACACTGAGTCCATCTGTAGGGCTTCCACTGGTGCTCAAAACACTGGTCAGACCTTCAATGCTACTTTCTCCAATGCTGGGATTCTTAAGGGCTCGCCAGGCATCTGCCACTGGGAATGGAAACCAAGATCTCAATTCAAGATAGCACAGCATCAACAGTCTGGCATTTTTCTGCAATGACTCTTCAGACTAGAAAATATTCACATAGAAAAATACTTATCTATTTAGTTAATGAGCAGCTACTATGTGCAGCCACCAAACACCAGGGGTTTTACTACATATCCTATATAATAAAAAGCTAATATGCAAATTATCCCCTTGTCTGGGAGTTCCACCAGGAGTTCGACCAGGGGGTGGGGCGAGCTGGCCAACTGCTGTGGCCCCTCCCCCCAGCCAGCCCCGCCCCCAATCAGGGTGGGCTGCTGGACCCCACCCGTGCACGAATTCGTGCACAGGGCCTCTAGTTTGTATATAATTTCTCCAATAACTAGGCACTAATAGCCCCAATTTTAGGGGAACAAAAGCTTAGAACTAAATAACTTGTCCACATCATGGCTAGTCACACAAAACAAAAATTTTGATTCCAAGTCTATTATTCATTCCAATACACCATAGATGCCAGCTAATCAAACGTGAAGATTTCAAAATACAATTTAGGTCATGTGCTGATTCTAGTAGGAAGCTTGAAAAACCTGTGGAGAACTCTGTGATAAAGTGGAAACATTAAAGTAGAAGTCAGAAGACTTGCTCTGATCCCAGCTCTGAAGAAGCTCTTAAACCCATTTAATAGATGTTGAGACAAAAGCTTAAAGAAGTTCCCATTAAATGGGGAATAAGAACTCCCACCCTTTCTCTTTTGAAAGCTGTTGTAAGAAACCAAGTGAGATAATAACTGTGTAAGGTCCTCTGAAAATTATAAAGTACTGTGCAGATTTAAGACTTTATTATAATCACTACTATTACCACGGTACTTGGAATCCTACAAGTTTGTACCTGCCACACAGAAGCAAGTATCAGAGGAATTAACCTAATAACTCTGGAACAAAGAAATGAAAAGCTAAAAATACTTTACCCCCTAAAAAGCTCATTATCTGAAGTAATCCAGTAGCAATCTCTCTGTGAATGTGCTGAATTTTACTGATTTTTATCTTGTGTTCCATAAATTCCAAAGGGAATGAAAATCCTCCTTTTACCTGTGATTGGGCCATCATCTTCATCAAACTCAATTTTCACTCCCTTTCCATTGGCCGTGCTAACTCCACAACCACCTCCTCGACAGAGAGAAATGGGCACCACCCCATAGACGTAAGCCAGCATAATGGGGACACCAATACCTGGAGGAAGAGAAGGAAACATGTCAGCAGGCCATCAGGTTGCAACTGTCCTAAATCCTCCTTCCCAGTCTGAGCACAGACAAACTACTTTAGAAAGGGCCAAGGAAAGGCAGAAGATGGCTATCCCAAAGAGGCAGACTGGTCCTAACAGAATGACAACTGGCCTTAGAATCAGAAAGGCTTGGATTAAAATCTTGGCTACAATTTACTAACCATATGATCTTGGACATACCTTCCCAGGGCTGTCAACGATCAAAAGGGGATGTATGTACAGTGCCCAGCACAATAAGTGTATGTTGCTTTAACTTTCCCCCTGCTGAAGTGCTAATCTAAAAACAAATCAATAACCAAACCCTAAACAAGTGACTCTTGGGGTCAGGATCACCCCAGTGTTAATTCCAAAATCTTACTGCTGTGTGAGGCAGGATGGCTTGGTTAAGAGCATAGGCTCAGAAGTCAGAGTGCCTTCACTTATGTCTCTGTTAAGTTGGCTTGGGCAAACTACTGCCCCTTCCTGTTACAATTATGCTGCTGTAAGGATTAAATGAATTAATACATACGAAACTCAGAACTGCTTCTGGTACATGGAGAGACTCAATAAATGTTAGTTACATTACTATTATTCTGAAACAAACCCTCATGCTTCCCCAAAATAGTGTGAGGCCCTAAGCAAATCAAAATAAAAGTAATTTGTTTTGTGGGTTCCATTGCAAGTGGAGAAAAAAAGAAGCTAAAAGTGAAACACTAGGCCTTAAAGTAATATTCTTTAATTCAACCTTCTCTGAAAGATTTCCCAACTCTGATAATTTAGTGTGGTTGATAATCATAATAATAGTACCTAATAGAATTAACTCCCAAGGTAGGATTGGTATAAAATACAGGGGCCTCCAGGGTGAAACATCTGGCCAGTTGGTTGCATTGCTATAGTTAGAGAGCTGATGGGGAGGAGGAGAGGAGAAGAGAGGGAAGAGTGGACTCATGGTCCTGGCCAGCTTCTTACCAACACTAACTGCAGCAATAACTGGGGATGCAATGACCGACAAAGTCACTCCTCCTGTGATAGCCAAATTCCTCTTATGTTTGGAGGTTTTCCTTCCCTCATACCTGCTATGAATCTGAGAATAAGAAAAAAATCCAGGTCAACAGGTTAGGACATCAATCTTTTCGCCAAGGAAGTATAAGAACAAGTGAATATCCTCCATATAAGTTATTTATATTAAAACATATCCTCCACCCCAAAGAAGCGTCTTTCTCACTTTTAACCTAATAAGACGAGGATGATATAAATGAATATAGAGAAAGTTAAACCAAGAAGAGAAAAATAACTCAGGAGGATGAAGTAAGCATTTCACCTTTAAGTCACAGACTGGGACAAACCAGGCCCAGGATATTAATAAGAACTTTCAGATCTCTTGGGGGTTGATGAAAATCCATTTAAGAAATTAAGTTTATTTTTATCCAAGAACCAGCTGGTTTTCAGGCAGCTCTGAAACATAAGTCCCCCCACCCCCATTTCCTTCAAACCTTTACCAACAAACCTGAAAATGGAACATGCACAGAACTCAATGTCTTACCTTCCTGCCAACATAAACAGGAATGCCGATGACCATGGCAGGGATGGCAATGCCAGCAATGAGGGAAATTCCCACTGGAGCACCAATCAACGTGCCCAGCTGCCAAAGAATTTTCTTCTTACGGCTCCATGGCTTCTTGCCCCAAAATGTGCAGCCAGAGGGGCTGCAGAGGAAACGTTGAAGTTAATGTCAATATTACAAATAAATGCAGCTGTTGTCACCAGAGGGCTTGATAAGAGCAAGAACCTTCTTTTCAATAGGAGTGGTTAACAGTTACAAGAAGTTACAGGAAATGAATATATTACACGAGGGAACAAAGCACAAGGCCAGACTCCTGCAGCTCTGGGCACTTTATTATTTTTTGCAAAGGCAGACCTCCAGACTGGAAATCTCTTTTCTTTTCTGAATTCTGTCCTCCCTAACCCACCAACACTGACCCAGCTTTCTTGACTGATACTACTTGGGATCTTGCATAACCTACACACTTGACACCTCATTCAAACTGCATTGTGCCTCGCAGCTACTGAACACTCTAATTTGCAAAGTTTTCTTGGCATATGTCCTACTACATCCAACAGATATTGCAAACCATATTTCTAGGAATGGACATAAAAATACAGTGTCACAGCCTTTTTGTCAGTTTCATACTCTGAGTTTGGCTATTTTTACACTCACCCCTTTTGAGTCCAACCATTTTTTTCTAAGTCCTCACCGAGGATATTTTTCCACTGATTTTTAGAGAGAGTGGAAGAGAGATGGAAAGACACAAAGAAATATCGATATGAGAGCAACACATCAATTGGTTGCCTCCTGCACGCATCCTGACCAGGGCCTGGGTTGAGGAGGAGCCTGCAACCGAGGTTATGTGCCCTGACTGAAATCGAATCTGGGACCCTTCAGTCCGCAGGCCGACGCTCTATCCACTGAGCCAAACTGGCTAGGACAAGTTCAACCATTTTTGCTTTCTTCCTTTGTCCTATCTTCTCTACCAGATGGGATAAGCAATTTTGAAAGTAGGGATCATATCTTATCCACCCTTGTATCCCTATTAATTGGTAGACTATAAGTACTCAAATGTTTGCTAAACTAGAAATTAAAGTGTTTCATCCACACAAGTATTAAATTTGTAAATATTAACTCCTTCAGGACAATATTTTAATATTCACTCAATAAATTCTTTGAAAACTTATACATGCAATGAACTAGAAAAAGGTAACTCTAGCCTTAAGAATTAATATAGTTTAGCAAAAGCAGACATGTACATGAAGTGAAAGTAATGATGATATTCATAAAGAAACATTTAAGGACTATCAATGAAAAATGAGGCAGAAAAGGCCGGGGAAGGCATCACAGATGAAATACCATGTAAGTGGCCCTTGAAGAGTGGGTAAGAACTGAACAGGTTCAGATAACATAGGGTTGCTCGTGCCCTGGCCAGTGTGGCTCAGTTGGTTGAGCGTCGTCCTGCGCACCAAAGGATTGTGGGTTTGATTCCTGATCAGGACACATGCCCAGGTTGCGGGTTTGATCCCTGATTAGGGTGCGTGCAGGAAGCAACTGATCGCTGTTTCTCTCTCACATTGACGTTTCTCTCCCCCCTCTCCCTTCCCCTCTCTCTAAAAAATAAATAAATAAAAATAAACAAAAACATATTTTTAAAAAATAGGGTTTCTGGGAGAGGTGATCAGAAAGCATTCCAGGCAAAGTAAAGAACTTTGTGAAGAAGTATGGAGAGGAAAGGTAGCACAGAAAGAGACAGGGAACACAAGCCTAGATTATGTATCTGGAATACAGCATGTATGAAAGCAAAATGGAAAAAGCAAAAAAGTAGATTAGGGCCAAACTTGGAAAGCCTTAAAAGCCAAGCTAGGAAAACTGAACTCTATCTTGAAGGTAATGGAAACAGTCCCTGCAAGTTTGCTGAGTTGGAAAAAACATGATTGGAAAGGAGCTTCAGAGGAACTTTATTACAGTCTCCTTACGCGTAATGACACGACAGACAACAATATATATATATCTTTTTTACATCCTTTTCCCTCAGTCAGTAAGAGAACAAGACTATAAAAGCAATGAACACATTTTTCAACTCACCTGAGGTAATGTAAGTCTGAGATCTCTTTCATACAAAGCCAACAGAATTCACAGCCACATACTGCACAGGTCATATGATTACAGCTTCCATCATTCATTTTGATTAATGTAAGCACTACATCGTGGGCATGGCTTGATGTCTTCTGCTAAGGGCCCGCGGGCGGGGGGGGGGGGGGGTAGGAATAAGCAGAAAAACAGCTCCAGTTAAACCTTGTTAGACTCTATTAATCATAGGAGTATATATAAAAAAGGAGGCAATGAAGAACTCTTGACTGAGAATTCCAAATTGTGCAACCCACTTCACTGGAAGGCTGGCTATGTCTAGACCTCAGGAAATTTCATTAAATGAATCCTGTCTTGTATCAAGCTGCCTATCCCAAAAACTGGCATTTTACATACCACTTGAGCCATAATCTCAGCAAGGAGACTTCCCTAGAGAAAGATGGTTTCAAGAAAAATGGAATTTCATCAGCCAAAAGGCTGGCAGAATTAAAAGTAGAGTCGAGCAGGAAGAATAGTTTGCAGACTGGAATTGGCCTTTAAGTTTTGAAAAACTTTAGTTCAGGAAACTCATTTCTTGGACTCAGCAAGTTTCATTGTGATTTGCTCTTACCGCAACCACAGTCCCTTCCCAAGATTCTTTCAAATTAAAAACCTAAAAACAATGGGGTATGCTATGTAGCATACACCTGGCAATCTTCACAGCAAGCGAGGAACTATCCTATGAAATGACAATTTGAGGAGATTATGCTGTGCCAGGAAAAAGTGAATGATAAAATCTTTCCTACTAGCCTCTCCCAAATGACGTCAGTGAAGTAAGTACATTTATAAAAGGCAATAAACCCACTGACATTTTAAAATGTTTTCTCTGACTTGTAAAGGTTGGAACTGAATGTGTGATATTCCTACTTTTAAGGTTAATCATTAATCCATACTAATATTTCCTGTCTTTCAATCTGCACCCTACTTCCAAAAGTGTGATGCACTTAAAGCTAGTAGGAAAACGTTACAGATTAAAACACTAATTAAATATCTCTTTGCTCACAATTAAAGTTTTGAAAAAGCTTCCAGTAAAAGGACCTAATTGCTCTCCAACCTGGACATATTACTAAGAAGGCAGAAACCAGAGAATTTAATTTTGTTGTATTCCGATTTTATCCGAGTTGGATAACCTATTATGGTCATTGAGGGAAGCTACATATCAATTATAATATTGAAAAGTATTGCCAAATATCTTCTGATCTCTGATCCCAGGAAATACTTCATTACACAGTAATGTAATTTCTCCCAGCTTTGGGCTCACATTCTGAACTATAAAATAAAGAGACAAATGAGAAAATGTCAATTTATACCTGGTCCCGATTCTTGTCCGTAACTGAGACCCGAAGTGTGCTTGGTCCGTACTCGAAAAGTCTGTGCCCTCTGCTGACGGGCCATATCGCATGTCTGATTTGGATGCCATATTTGCTTGCAGTGGTAGCAGAACTCAGTCTGGCAGCCTTCCCTCCCACAGGTCAGTTTTGGGCAGCTGGCACAGCCATAGGCAATAACAGCATAACTGGGTAAGGAAACAGAAAATAGGAAGAGATATCAGTAAGGTAAGAATGATCTAACCAAGACAGACAGACATTCATCAGTTCAGTGGAGTAACACTGGCACTCCCACCACCACCTGTGATATAAAGAAAAACACACGCATGCACAGTGTGCCTAACAAACTGTAAATCATATGCTTGTGAGAAAGTACATTTCTTCTTGAAATTCTAAAAACACAAATCATTTATTTCCTGAAAAATATAGGGGGGGGCATATTTCACCTGAATTTCTAGCATATATCCAGTCATAGTTTAAGCTGCTTTAGGAGCAGTTTGCCTCGGCAAGTTTCATAAATAACAAGGTACAAAACGATTTCCTTCCGATGGTTTGCTATATTTAAAGAGGTTAGAATTTGTTTACACAAGGGACAGAACACTTGTAAAATAAAAAGCCACAGCAAAAACTAAAGCAAGTATACGTTTTCATTTTTAAGTTCCAAAGTGAAGCTGGTCTGACCACAGCCTGAGACAATAGCTATAGATGGATTCATGGTTAACTTCTGATGAAAGCTCATATTATCTTTCTATACATTTTTTTCTCCTCTCCCTCTCATTTTCTCTCTCTACTCTCTCTCTCATCTCTCCTTCTCAAATATTTACTTTGAAATATCTTCTTTCTTGACAGGCTCTATAATCCAAGAATATCACTCATCTATGTCATTAATTAATATAGAAATAAGGCCATATCTCCTCCCCTCTCTTCTGACCCATATTCTCAATAAAGATGGGCAATTCAAGAATGTATCAGCACCAGCATCAAACTGTTTCTTATAACTCATGTTTATTTACCAAGACTTACTCTCCCATAAACAATCCAATATATTTACAACTATTAGTCTTTCTAATTCTAAATATGTCAACTAAATGCTCAGGTTACACTAACAAGTGGACACTTGTTTACAAAAATTAAAGTAATTTAAAGAAACAAATGAAAAACAGCAGTTGTTAAATTTCACACAATTTTTTGACAGGTCAGTGACTGCAGGATTAGGTATTACCATTTGAGTTTTGTTGTCCCCTATTCCACGCTCTCCTGCAAAAACCAAAAACCTCAAACACTTACACAAAAGGCTAATCATGTTTTCTTGAATTTATCCTATGGTTTATTTATTTGAATGTACGTTAGATAAGAGAAACTCAAATTCTCAGGTTTATCATAGATTCTGAAGTTGATTTGAGGATGATACTGAAACTATCAATAACAAGATATCATCTATGTTATATAATATATGCTCTATGAAAACCCTTCTCAGAAAGAGCAAATGATTGCAAATGATTCATATCCTGTAGGAGTTCTGAGCAAATCTACCTGCAAAATAACTACTAAAGATAAACAATGTTTTTACTGAAGAAAGTGACTTGCTTGCTATTGTGTGTTAAATGGGAAAGGTACTGGATGATCTCAGAAAAATATTAAGCCAACTTCTGATGATACAGATTAGACAGACTACCAGTCAGGAAGCCTTGAATATTTCGTAATCCATTCCTACCTTACATGGTGGGAGTAAATATTTATTAACAGATTCCCCAACCTTTTCTTGAAAAATAAGAACATTTGATAGGACTTACAATATCAATTTTGGGTGTAGAATTTGGTTCTAAGCAAGTAAAATAAACCCAAATACTCATGAACCCAACGCAATCTATTACCATGCCACAGAATTACTCAGGGCACAAGATTTGGCATTCCAGTTTTTGGGCGCCTGGTCTGAGCTCCTTGCTACTGACTCATACTGTATGACATTGTGCTAATTAAAATCTACAAACATTAGCTTCTATCCCCAAAATGGAGGTATAGGTGCTTGCCACCTTCAAGTGTTACTAAACATGTTCTGAAACTGCATTTGAGATCTTGCCCTGACAGGAATGGCATAAAATCATAGCACTTTTGTTGTTGTTATTGTTCTACTTCCTTGCCTTTGTACACTCTATTCCTTCTGTCTAGAAATGACCCCTTTTTACTTCTTGCCCTGGAAAATACTTATCCATGTAAAAACCAGCTCAAATGTCATCATCTCTGTAAAATCTACATAACATCTCCAGGCGGCTGGTTACCTACTTCATGCCTGTGCACAATTACACACCCCCCCCCCCCACACACACACACACACATACACACTGCACAGCGCCTTCAGTGCTCACAGGTCAGGAGGCTGGGCAATGGTTCGAGGCTGCAATTGACTCTGGCATGGGTATACCTTGAGAGGCCCCTAGAGAAACACAATTACTTCATAATATTTATCACATTATATTGTAATCATCTGTTTACGTGCATACTTCCCCAATCAGACTACACTCAGGAAAAGTACCATCCATTTTTTAATCTCCAGGGTCTAGCACTCTAATTTATGTCTAAAATACCTATGTTGAATGAATGATGGAGACCTTTTCCTGCTTAGGTTTTATTACTTTTCCCCAGGGCATTCTAGCTCTTCTCCTGGGCCATTACTCTGCCCTAAAGCAATCTTTTAAACTTATCCATGTACCTATTTGGTTTACAATATATGTCAGGTACTATTGCTTAATCCTAAAATTTTGTATAAAACCACTTTAGGGGTAAACTTCTAAGTTCTAAATAGGGCAATCTTCTTCCCCAGGTAGTTGAAAAAACCCTTATCCTTGAGAGGCCAAATCTGCCTTGACCATCTTGTTTCTTTTCTCCCAGGTCTCACACTGGAACCTCTCCCCTACCCTGCTCTCAGCTTAATCAAGCATTCAGGTTTGCTTAATTAGAAGCTAAATAGAAGATGCAGGAAATTACATGTTGCTAAGAATACAGGTGCATACGTTTTCCCCCTTAAGTTCATACCATTTTTACTAATTTTGTTAATTTCCTAAGTCTTCAGAAACATCATAATGTGTGAAAGGCTAGACCACAACATTATCTAACTTCAGCCCTGGTGGGGAACATCTCATTAGTATGAATTTGATTATGTTCCAACAGACCCTGGTAGTTAAAAGTGTTCCTACAGACTGACGAATCTCAGAGGGAAGGTGTGTGTGTGGGAGAGAGATTAACCAAAGAACTTATATGCATATATGCATAACCCATCGACACAAACAATAGTGTGGCTGAAGGCCTAGGAGCGAGCGGGGTCAATGGGGACATCTGTAATAGTTTCAACAATAAAGATAAACTTTAAAAAATAAAGAAATGTGTTTCTGTACTTCCAAGCTCCAGGCCAGGTAACTTCATTTACAAATTAACCCTGAGCACGTGTAAGGGTGGGAGATATGGGTCAAGTTGTCACAATAAACTATACCCTTACAATCTTCTTTTCCCTGGCCTAATTCAAACCCATGTCACTTCTTGGCCAGACAACTTCAAGGAACTACTATCTGGTCTCCTTATTCCCCACTCCAATCCAAATTCCAGTTCTAAAGGTTATCTATTATGTTACTCTTTTGCTTAAAATCCTTTAACAAAAAGGAAGAAAATCCTTCAAACCTAAAGATCTTTGCATGGCATAAGTCCGGCCTATCAACTGGAATCCAGTCTGCCTTTTCAGATTGCTCTCTAGTCACTTCCCAGATCATGCTCCCATATTGCGCATTCAGAAGATAACCAAACTAGACTTAAGGCTTAGTCTTGTATTTTTATACCTCCATACATTTGCTCATAACATTCTAATTTAAGATGTTTTTTTTCTCTGCCCACTTCTTTGTTTGCTTGATATTAATTCCTACGCATATTTTTCAAGGCCTAGATCAAATATTACCTCCTCTGTGAAGTCTTTATTGGTTTATTTTATTTTAATATTTTTAATCCTCACCTGAGGATATTTTTCCATTGATTTTTTAAAATATAATTTTTTTTAGAATATATTTTTATTGATTTCAAAGAGGAAGGGAGAGGGAGAGAGAGATAGAAACATCAATGATGAGAGAGAATCATTAATTGGCTGCCTCCTGCACAGCCCCTACTGGGGATCAAGCCCACAACCAACCCGGGCATGTGCCCTTGACCAGAATTGAACCTGGGATCCTTCAGTCTGCAGGCCAAACCAGCTGGGGCTGTGAAGTCTTTACTGACCCCATCATGCAAAACCTTTCATGTATCCAATAAGAGGATTCATATTTGTTACAATTATCTATCTATCATCTATCTATCTATCTATCTATCAATCATCTTTCTATCTATCTATCTATCTATCTATCTATCTATCTATCTATCTATCATCTATCTCTTCAACCAGGTCAAACTCCCTGTCAAGAGGACCACTTTTAAGTCCTTTTTGTAATATCTAGTACTCACCTAAGATTCAAACACTTTATAATTCTCCAAAGCAGGGGTCCTCAAACTACAGCCTGCGGGCCACATGCAAATACAAATATTGTATTTGTTCCCGTTTTGTTTTTTTACTTCAAAATAAGATATGTGCAGTGTGCATAGGAATTTGTTCATAGTTGTTTTTTTTAAACTATAGTCCGGCCCTCCAACGGTCTGAGGGACAGTGAACTGGCCCTCTGTTTAAAAAGTTTGAGGACCCCTGCTCCAAAGTGTCTGTCGAATGATCACCTGTCTGTCCTCTTCTCAGCCACCCTCCGGTTATCTGTTTCTCTTCCAAAAACTGTGCTGTTTGTATGCCTTATCTTTTTTCTCAAAATTCAACTATTCATTCTATTCTTCTGGGAGCTAACTGAGAGATTCTGTTCGTAGTGTTGTAGAAAAAGTTGGAATATAGACATCCTAGTCTAGAGGAGCTCCCTATCTACTCAGAGATCAAGATTCATTGTTAAATAAGGACACTAACAGAAGGCAGGCCAGAATAACTGTTAAAGGAATTTACCAAACTGCAAATAGTCAGGGAAAGTTTCACTTTCACCTTAAAGATGCCATAGAAAAACAAAAGCATTTCCTGGTAATTAAGTTTGGCACAATTATACCAGATTGAAGACTTACACTGCATTAGTATTAACAAGATTTACAGTGTATATTAGCATTCTTAAAGGAACTAAGAAGCTCGGGAAGCTCAGAAATAAATTTGCTTTATTTTGTTCAATCCAGTATTTCACAAGCTTATCTGATAACAAAACACTTCTCTTTCTAGTAATGCCTATAACGTATCTTGGGAAATATTGATATATGTGAACTAGAAAATAAGATAAAAAGATGGTTGTAAGCTTGTAAAGGGCTTAAATTATACGGATAGATCATATAAATAATGAGTTATCCTATATAATAAAGAGCTAATATGCTAATTAGACTGGACGGCAGAACGACCAGTAGGCCGGGCTGCAGGGCTTCGAGGCAGCCGGGGCCGAAGGCAGCAGGGCTGCAATGGGCCGAGGCAGCCGGGGCTGTGAGGGCTGAGCCCCTTGCACAAATTTTGTGCATCGCGCCTCTAGTTAAAGATATAAGAAGTTATCTTATAGGTCAGGTATGAGCAGTTTTAAGCAGGGGCATGATATAAAATGTTTCACTATAGAATGAGTACCTTGGCAAATATGAGAAAGATGTATTGGGATGAGAAGGATGATGTAGGTGGTGGGTAAGGGAGATAGAGTGAAGAGTTGTGACATAGAAGGTATGGAGTAAATGAAGAGAAGAGAGCCCAGGAAGGCTTCAGAGAGGAAAACTCCTCCTTCACTGACTGAGAAATCTGCCTTACTTAGGGAGCTTGGTCTTCCCTCATAAATATGCTAGAGGCAAACAGAAGCTTCTTGTTTATGGGATGGTCCAGTCCAGTTGTCTAGGAAGGCCAATAGCTGATACTACCTGCTGCAGCCAGGTGGGAGGGGGTCCTGTACAGGGAAGGATTCTGCAATGAGAGGCTAGAAGTGGTGGACCTGCACAAAGAATTTAGGTCAACAGCCTTATCTCCTATTCATTTGGAGGGAAGATCTGCCCTGTTGCATCCTTTGCTCACCTCCCAATTTTCTAGAGATTCTGCAAGGGTTTAATGAATGACAACAGGGCACATGAATCATGTACATGATTTATGGGTTTCTGAAAACACCTCATATTTAAGCAGAGACTCTAAGGCAGGGGTGGGCAAACTTTTTGACTTGAGGGCCACAATGGGTTCTTAAACTGGACCGGAGGGCCGGAACAAAAGCATGGATGGAGTGTTTGTGTGAACTAATATAAATTCAAAGTAAACATCATTACATAAAAGGGTACGGTCTTTTTTTTTTTTTTTTTTAGTTTTATTCATTTCAAACGGGCCGGATCCGGCCCGCGGGCCGTAGTTTGCCCACGGCTGCTCTAAGGGGTAACAAGATCAACTGCACCATTTATTAGCTACTAGAGGCCCGATGCACAATTTGTGCACTCGGGGGGGGGGGTCCCTCACCCCAGCCTGTGCCCTCTCCCAGTCTGGGACCCCTCGGGGGATGTCCACCTGCTGGCTTAGGCTCACTCCCTGGGAGATCGGGTCTAAGCTAGCAGTCAGACATCCCTCTGGCAGCCCGGGAGCCCTTGGGAGATGTCCACTTGCCAGCAGGGAGCAGGCCTAAGCTGCAGTTGGACATCCTTAGTGCTGCTGAGGAGGCTGGAGAGGCTCCCACCACCACTGCGCTGGCAGCTGTCAGCCTGGCTTGTGGCTGAGCAGAGCTCCCCCTGTGGGAGCGCACTGACCACCAGGGGGCAGCTCCTGCATTGAGCATCTGCCCCCTGGTGGTCAGTGTTTGTCATAGTGACCAGTCATTCCCAGTGGTTCTGCTGTTAGGGTCAATTTGCATATTACCCTTTTATTATATAGGATGAGACCCTGGGTCCCATACAAGCTTCTCTGCACTGGTTTCTCCCTTATAAAATGAATTTACTACCATGTACCTGTATGAAACTAAAATGAAATTATTTCTGAGCCTAACTGGTTTGGCTCAGTGGATAGAGTGTTGGCCTGCGGACTGAAGGATCATGGGTTAGATTCCGATCAAGAGCACGCACCTTAGTTGCAGGCTCAATACCCTGGGTGGTCGGCCCTGGACGGGGGGTGTGCGGAAGGCAACTAATCAATGTATCTCTCTCACACTGATGTTTCTCTCTGTCTTTCCCTCACCCTTGCACTCTCTCTAAAAATCAATGGGAAAATATCCTAAGGTACAGATTAACAAAATAGAATAAAACAAAACAAAATTGCCCTAGCTGGTTTGGCTCAGCGGATGGAGCGTCGGCCTGCGGACTCAGGGGTCCTGGGTTCGATTCCGGTCAAGGGCATGTGCCTGGGTTGCGGGCACATCCCCAGTGGGGGGCGTGTGGGAGGCAGCTGAATCGATGTTTCTAACTTGCTATCCCTCTCCCTCTCCCTTCCTCTCTGTAGAAATATCAATGAAATATATTTTAAAAAAAAATTAAATTAAATTAAATTAAATTAAAAAATAAAATTAAATGAAATTATTTCTGAATGAGGTCTGAGTCTGAAAATTATAAAGAACTATACAAATTTTCATTTAAAAGTATGTTTTAAAGATTATACTTGGTAGTATTGTACTTAATGATATTAAATAACAATGTGAATGTTTCCCCACTAAAATTAGTTCCCTTATTTACAACTAAAATAAGATTGTTTCAAATATGGGAAAAGAAAAACTTGAAACTCTTTGCTCAGTTCTACAAATATTCTGCAAACAAATCATGAAATCTTTTAATATATAGTGTTCTCATTATCGTGAGTAATCACAGTGAAACTATTGATCAGAACTCTGTAGGGTCGCTTACATATTCCCCTCACCCTGCCAAACACACACCTTGAGAATGTGATAAATTTGGCTGGTAAGAACTTGATCTGTGAACAGTAAAGATGGTCAGGTATTAGGAGAGATAATTGGGGCTTAGGCTATGTCCTCGTGCTCATCCATGATTTTTACCAGACCCAGAAGAGTCGACCAGTTTGCTTAAAACAAAACAAGCTAATTTTCTCCCAGCATTAAAAAGAAGCAAAACCACTGGCCACATCCCCAGGGAACTGAGACACCTGTTTGGGAAGTAACAGTATTTTAAAGTTACTCCCTGTTTATCTAACACCTTCAACTGAAGATCTCAAAACACCGTGCAACATTAAGCATCTCAAGTCAGGAAAGGATCAGGCTTATTTCAGGTAAGAAAAATAAAATAGGCAAGAGCTGTTAACAATAGGTATCAGGAAAGGAAATCAATTCTAGCATCCTTGGCTCTCTCAATGTTGTCCTTAGAGCACACTTGTTGAAATGACCCAAACATTAGCATCCCCAATAATGCTGACAAACCATGCTTTTAAAACAGAGGTTGCAAGGAAAGAATATTGAACGTGGTTGGAGTTAAGACCAGTGTTTACACTAGTTACATGACTCTGAACAAGTCACTCACTTTATTTAAACTTCGGTTTCCTCACCTATAAAACTAGATCAAATTTATGTTATCATGTTGCAAGGATCAAATTAAATTATGTATGCCTGGCACATGTTGCCAGCTTGCTTTCTTTCCCCAGACTTCACCTTCTTTAAATACACAGATAACACATTTTTAAAAATTATACATAAAAATGTTATAATTCCTTTAACTAATTAAAAAATAAACTCTGATGACAACTGATGCAATACTTGGCTAAAATAGAAAATGGCCTAATTTTTTAATAACTTCAAAATCAGGAATGATTTGAAGTTGTCATCGAGATTGTAAATTAATTCCTCTCCCTTTTTATTGATGTGAGCAAAGTCAAGAGTTTGACTTCAGAGGAGTAATAAACAAAAAGGGAGCTTTTCCAGAAAGATAATCAGTGGTGCCACATTTCTCAGTTAAACTTCAAGGAAACTCATATCTCAAAAAAGGAATTAATATACTATTCCAAAGTGAACAATGCTCATTTAAATTCCTTTGGTTCAGAAAACAGATCAATAGTGTCTGTAAAATGTGAATACCATGTAAGTTAACCTCTTAAGGCCAGTCGGATCACCAGATAGAAGCAAAAACTTCTAAGAGCCTACACAGTTCTTTCTCATCCTTAACTGAAAGTGAAAGTGATTTACCATAAACACAGACCATTGACAACAGCTTCAGAGTAATTTAGAAACCCCATCGCAGTGAGGTTAAATAACACACCCATCTCCAAACAAGTCTGGCGGCAGATAAATAGAAGCAGCTAACTTTTTTTTACTCCCCTAACCAGTCTGTGCCGGCTTCTTTTGAAGGAGACCAACAGCAGCAGCATGGAAATCTTAAAACAGCCTTGACATGCAGGCTACAGTTAAAAGTCCTTCTTAACTCCCTTGAGGCAAAGACTGTGAAGCTTTTTACTAGCATTACATTTACCCACTGCGAGGAGTCCTTAGCATCTGTCTGTCCCCAAAACATGACACACAGGAATAAAATGATCTTCCCAAGGTCAAAGAACAGGTAATGGCACGCCTGACTCCCGGCCACTTAGAGGAGCCCCTCTTCGCTGCACGCAGCCGTTCCTGGGATGTACGGACACAAGCAGACTTTTCTCCGTGGGCGGAGGAGGGGCTCCACTACAGCTAAATCTGTTGGTATGAGGTCTCTGCAGTGGAGGCATATTTTCTCACTGACCTTAAAGATTCAACATACACGGCGCATTAAAAACACTGTCAAGAACCCAAGATCAGAGGGGCTGGGAGACACATTTTCTCCACCCACATCAACCTCTCCGCATCCTTCTTCTGAGTGCCCCGTGGCTTCCTGGACAAAGAAAGGGTCCGCTCCTCGCCCTGCCCGAGGCACCAGCGTGGAAACCACAGGGGGCCTCCCAACAGCGTGGCACCGATGATACACATGCCCGGGCGCCCCAGCCTCTCCCCGCACCCCCATCCCCGCTTCCAGCAGGGGTGCCCAGAAGCACACACCCTCCGCGGCAATGCCAAGCCTGCCTCTGGCCCGGCGGACACGCCCCTCCGGAGTGCTGCCCCTCAGAATGGCACTCTCACTCCGCCTTTGGCCACACATCCCCTCCTGAAGAGGCACCCCGACCTCTGGACACGGGGGCATTTACCCGACAAAAAGCCGCCCTGCCCCTGACCTGATGGATACCTCCCTCCCACCCCGACCGCCCAGCCTCCAGCTCACGCTCCTGGTCAGGGGTGGGGTGCTGGGTGCTGCCACCGCACTCGTCTGGGCTGAGGGATGGTACCAGCTAAACCCACCGCGGCCGCCGCCTCCCTCCCCGTGGGTCATCCCTCAGCTCTCCCTCCACACTGGGACGGACACACGGGTCCGGTCCCGGCACGAGACGGGTCCCGGCGGCCGCAGCCCACGCCCGGCGCCACGC